GTGAAGCTCTACATGATGTGGATCTTGCCTATAACTTTGCTTGTTATGTTTAAGACCAGTATCCTAAGTTGTTGTGGAACTTGATTTGTCTGTGTGAAGAGTTTGAGGTTTTTTTTGAAGAGACTCAATGTCCATTATTTATATAAAGGATGCGGTTTCTATAAGGTTGCAACTTTAAACAACCAATTAAGACGCACCTCCAAATTTTATCATAACATGTAATTTTGTTGTAAAAGTTTTTTAGGATTATCTTAAAAACTATTTTCATATCTAATTAGAAAATTTTAAACTCCAAAAATGGTTGAAATTAAGTAGATATATAAACATATGAAAATCTTAATGTGATGCAAGATGAACTATTTTTGGGACTCAAATTTGTTTTTTTTTAGTATTCATACATCTCGATGTCGAGATGATCAATTAGAAGGCTTTTCAACATTAAAACAATCTTTTCGATAGATTTTTGAGGTGCATATGTGCTTCTACATTTAAGGTTGTAACCTTATATAAACTTTTCCCTTATATAAATATACATACTTGTCATATAAACAAATTGCACATGAAAAGACAGAAAATAAATCACAGATACCTAAACTCTATCTAGACTTACCATAAAATACATATATTGTAAGGTTGCACAGGGACCAAATTGTTATTTTTTGAAACAATTTCCCCCGGACTTTAACTTTTTAGCCGTAAGTCTGATTCAGGCGATTCTTAGACCGTTGGAAAACTTGTGACCTCCTATACAATTTAAAATCAAATTTGATATATTTTTTAGGAGTTTATAAGGTTATGACTTTAGGGATATCGGTTTTAGGTTTATGGGTATCCGATCGATGTTCGGATCAGTTTTCTTGGTTCACAAGGCTCATGAGTGTCTAAAGTCACTATGTTAGGGTATTGAGATAAAATTTGGGATAATTCTATTAGTTTTAGGTCATCTATGATCTACTAGGATTTGTGTGGTCATTTGGACTTAGAATCGATGTTTTTTTTAAATAATTTCCTCAATTTCAAGGGGGGTGCCTACAGTGTTTTAGTTGGTGAGAAAAAAGAAAAATTAAAATCTATATACATCATGCTAGATCACCGTGTCCCACTATCAAGAACTTTAGAGGGATGCTCTAAAATCTTAATATTTTAAAATTACTTGGACTAAGTGTTAGAAAACTTGAATTTCAAAGTGTTAGAATCTAAATATTTTAAAATTACTTGGAATAAGTATTTTAGATTGTGAGATCTAAGTGTTAGTAAATTTGAATTTCAAAATTGTACTTTTGAAAATAATATCTAGCTAGGTGCTTCCCAAAATTTCAAATTGAAAATTTCCCCCCAAATAGGTCTTCTCACGAAAGGTTAGAAGTGTACTACGCTTCCCTCGAAAAAAAATACGTACGATACACATTCTCAAAAAGTGGAAATTAAGGGTACGGGTGAAATATAAAATATATAAAATTATTTCTTAATTTTGATACTAAAAAGGATTTTTGTTTTTACACGGGGTATAAGATCTTGTGGAATAATTCGTCGGGCTGCTTCCAGCGTTATCATTTGAAAACAAGACAAATTGAAAAATCGTTAAAACCGTTATTTGAACAGCAGCTGAGTCAGCAGCTGTTCCGTGTCCGAGGTAACGAAGCCAACCCCGCTTCCTTCCTTTTTCAAATAAACGAAAAACCCCGCCCTCTTTCTCTCTCTATCTCTCTCTCTCTAAAATTGCATTATACGAAGCTCCACAGCCCAAATTTCATCTCTCTCTCTCTCTAAAATTGCATTATACGAAGTTCCACAGCCCAAATTTCATCTCTCTCTCTCTCTCTAAAATTGCATTATACGAAGCTCCACAGCCCCAATTTCATCTCTCTCTCTCTCTAAAATTGCATTATACGAAGCTCCACAGCCCAAATTTCATCTCTCTCTCTCTAAAATTGCATTATACGAAGTTCCACAGCCCAAATTTCATCTCTCTCTCTCTCTCTAAAATTGCATTATACTAAGCTCCAGAGCCCAATTGTGACAAGTTTCATCTCTCTCTATGTTTGCATTCTACAAAGCTCCATTCAGCTCTCTCTCTATAATTTTATTCTTTTTCCCCTTGTCTTTTTTAGTCTCTTTCTCTGGTTTCTCTGCAGTTACGTTTTGATTAACCCTAATTGCATCCATGGAGGACTCATTCAATTCCCCAAAGAACAAAAGGGAAAGACCTCTTAAGCCCCGAAACGACGGGCAGGACTCTTCTCATGACCAAAGAATGCCCAAACGAAGATCTTCTTGGACTGGTGCAGCAGATATTTCAGAACCCATTGTGCCTTCGTCCACTTCGATGGAGGCGTCAGAGCCCACCATGACTTCTTGCTTTGCTTCACAAGAGCATTTGGAGACAATTCCAGGTTCGTTATCTACTTTGGCAGGGAAAGAAGGTCATGTACCTGGTTTTTGCTCTGCATCTGAAGAGAAACCCGAAGCCGTGAAGGTTTCAAGAAAGATCGACACATCCACAGATCTTTCTTATGATAGTTCAGAAAAGAGAGTAAAACTCACTTCAGTTGATCCTTTGAATTCCGAAGGAACAGAGGCTTCTTTACCAGGTATGGAACATGAATTCGAATTTGCTATGGCTTCCAGCTCTAATGAAGAAAAGGACTCCAAACCCTTA